AAAAATATAAAAAAAATGGCCAAAGGCCCAAATGAACAAGTTTCGGTCAACAGCGCGGCTTTTTTTTGCTTCGCCAAAACCCCGGGTTTGCAACTTTGCTCAAAACCCCCAGTTTAAAAGGCAATTTTCCCCGCCCTTTTAACACCAGGTTTAAGACAATTTTTTTCTCATTTTAAAACGACTTTAATAAACGATTTCCGCTAGAGTTTATAGACGATGTTACCCTCTAAAAAAACTTTAAAAAACTACGTTTCGTTCTAAATAAAGCTATTTTGATAAAAAAAATACTGATTTGTTACACCCTTCTTTACTGTATTTGTCATTATCAAAACCGGCAAAAATTATTTTATTGCCGATTAAACGATTGTTTTTAAACCCTGTTTTTTATTTGTTTGAAGAAATATTTGCTAGACGAAAAAACAACATGCGGAAAAAAAAATTTTATTCCGTATTTTTTTTTTTTAAAGGTAATTTTGCTCAACAATTGAAAGAAATAGATTTATTTTATTTTTTTTTCATGTTGGCACTATTGTTCAGGTATGAAGGCCCAAAAGAAAAATCTTTTATTTTTTTACCCAAAATGAAAATAAATTCAAAATGTGAATTTCGGCTGTTTTAGGTCTTTCTTAAAACCTAAATGAGTTTTTTTAAAAAATTTTGTTTTAAAAACCAAAAGTGATATCGAATTCGACTTAGTTAAGGAGATTAGTAAAGCCTTTTTTCGTAGTAAAAAAAATTAAAAGTACATGTACAAGGGAACAGGCCTAGCGACGTCATTGCATTTATTATATAAAAGCCCTTGTTAGCGAGATTTTGGGCGAATTAGGGCAGTTTTTTCCCCCCGGGTGCGACCCACACCATCAACGACACCCAGGGAACCATTTTTTTTACCAGGGGTTAACATAGACAGCAGGGTCTTAAGGAAACATTCCTAAATTTTCCCCAGCCGTACCGGGGCGATCTCCGGCTTTAGTGTGTGAGGTGAGTGCGCCACGATCGGTAAGGGCTCTATTATTAAAAAAGCGTGGGATGGGTGACATCTTAGGTGACCAAATTAAAAAGAAGTTAATTACAAGTAAAGAGAAAAGGATTATAATTTTATTGGTTAGATATTTAAAGGACATCGCAGGAGAAATAGAAACTTGGTAAATATCAGAGATTTCTATGAGGTGTAAATGCGAATAATTTGTTGGTACCTTGGTACCAACAAATCATTCACAGCAGTGTGGTGGTACGTTCATACCAGTGGTAGACATCAACAGTGTGTTGGTAGCTTGGTACCAACAAATCATTCACAGCAGTGTGGTGGTACGTTCGTACCAGTGGTAGACATCAACAGTGTGTTGGTACCTTGGTACCAACAAATCATTCACAGCAGTGTGGTGGTACGTTCGTACCAGTGGTAGACATCAAGAGTGTGTTGGTAGCTTGGTACACTGGAAGATAGCAGTAATGTGTTGGTACCTTGGCACACTGGTAGACAATAACAATACTTTGCTCCACTGGTAGACAACAAAATAAGCTTGGGTAAGATACACACAGGAAGCCTCGTTCAGGAAAGGACACCTATATATTATATATGAATAGAACAGGCTAGCTGATACACAAAGTTGAGCAACTGTTCTGGACCTGGGCAAGACGTTGAGTCTCTCAGACTCATTACAATCTTGTTACAATTTAATGAGTGACAGTTAACACTGATCACCCTTGTTAATACCTGAAATTGGAGAGTGTGTGCAATGGTATCTTTTTCAATTTTATTGCTGCCGGGCTGAGGGGCTGTGTCCAATATTGATCTATGGTTTTATTTTGGTTTATTTCAGCGGCTGATGTAGCCCAAAGTGAGTGTTTTCATACAACCATTTTCCAAATAAATTTGGAACTGGAAACTCACTACCATCAGGTTTGTTAGCCGCACTATTGAGGAGGATCGGTTTACAAGCGTTTTCCAATGAAAAAAAAATTTTAAACCGGGCCGGGCACATTCTGTACCAGAAGATAAAACATTAGACTAAACTTTTCCAAAAGACGTTGATAAATTAGATCTCGTGCAACACTTGGGTATCTCTAATTTGTGTCTTTTTCTAAAAACGTTATATACGTTCCAACTATAGCTCCTTTTTTGTGGAAAAATAACTTACTCACTTTATGTATTAACC